GGGATTGGGGACAAAGAAATCTCAATCCGAGAATCCAAATATCACGTGACAATTTCAACATCAGATTGAGCAAGCAACGGAGAAATAATAACAGTTGCCTTCATCAGTGGCTGAGTTGTTAAAAGAGGAGTCTGCGTACTATTTGTTCGTTTGATTGTTCAAGGTGCGAGATTATTGTGTTCATTTCAAGTTTTGCTCCTGAGCACGTGTAAAACAACGTCTCTTCGCTCCATTTTACTTGAAAATAAGCACTCAGGAGCGCTTTTTTATCTTTGCACTAAGTTTCACAATAAAAGTTTCAGCTGAAGCCATTAATCCGAGCTGTCAAAATCGCAGAATAGCATAGCGGTAGTCTATCACTGCACCGCTGTGTTCCCCTTCAAACTTTCAGCGTATTTGTAAGGGCAGCTGCAGGCTGAGTTTAGTAGAATCTCAGCTTGTTGTCGTTCCGCATTTGCCCTTCTTTGAGGGAATATTATAAGGACAGCAATGGAGAGTACTCTATAGTTGGCTAAGAAAGCTCTGGATGCTCCTTTCTTCATGCTCTTCCTGCACAGGGAAGAGAATGAGCAGCTCCGTGACTTTTTCGTGCAAAATGACTCTCTTTTATTCTTTGCTATGGCATCTTTATATTGTATATCCCTCTGACAATTTGAATTCAGCCTTCCAATCATCATGATGCAGAACCCATCACAACAACAGCTCAACATCCGTCTCCGCTTTCACACCTCCTCCTCTCCTAACCCTCCTTCTCCCAAAAAGTCACTCTTCCTCCTGGGGCCTGGCTATATCGGCGGTGCAATCCTCCATGCCCTCCTTACCACGTCTCCTTACAAAGACACATTCACCTTTTCTGCTCTAGTTCGACGAGAGGAGCAAGCTCAGAAGCTAAGGGAGCTCGGGGTCCGTCCGGTGTTTGGGGGTCTCGATGATACGGAGTTGATAGCTTCAGAGACGAGAGCGAGTGATGTGGTTCGTATCTTTCACCGACATCCCTCACTTCATTATGTCTATCTTCATGATAGAGTTGTGCTGATGACCTGGACACAATGAACAGATAATCAACGCGGCGTCCTCTGATCATCTTCCCTCCGTCCGCGCCATCCTTCACGGCATATCGACACGCTGCGATTCCTCCAAACCGATAGTCTACATCCACACCTCAGGTACCGGTGAGCTCTGCAAATACGATGATGGGGAGCTGTCCGAATACGTGTACGACGATACATTGCCTGCGGAAATGGACGAAAGGTTGGAAGACGACGCTCCCCATCGTCAGATGGACCTCGAAATAAAGCGGTTTGTGGAGGGAAAGGAGGGAGGGGATGCAAGGATCCAGATCGTTTTGCCCCCTTTGATTTATGGCATTGGGGAAGGACCGTTCAATAGATTGAGCCAGCAGATTCCCAATTTAGTGCGGTTGGCGGTGAGCCTTTTGTATTTTTGCTGTGGAGTTTGATGTTGATGAATATGCGTAGATCAAAGAGGGATACTCAGGATATTGGGGGAAAGGAGAAGCGATCTGGAGTCAGTCCACTTCCTCCCATCCATTCATGACTTAGCTAAAACAACTCTTTGGCAGACAACGTTTCGATCCAGTCCCTAGTCTCAGGCTACCTCCTAATCCTTTCCAACCTCCTCTCACCCTCTCCCGACCTATCCTCTCTCTACTACTTTGCTGAAACCGGTTCGCACAGCTGGAAATCTCTCGCTTCCTCCATCGGCCTAGCACTCAAAAAACGAGGGAAGATAGATGGTGAAGCGGCGAGGAGTTGGGAACGTGGGATATTCGGAAAAGAAGAAGCTTCTTATGCGCTTTCCTACGGTGGTAACAGTAGGAGTAAGGCGACCAGGCTGAGGAGGTTGGGATGGACAGGGAAGAGCGAGAGGAACATTTGGGAGGATGTCGAGTGGGAGGTGGACGAGATCTTGAAAGGGCTCTAACCGCCTTTCCTACTCCAAGTAATCCTTGATGAGATCGATGAGATTCTTCTACCAGTGACAAGGAACAAGGGACAGAGATTGTACTTTTCATCGACATGCATTGCAAGCTTCTCTTCCAATCCAGCATCCAACAAAGCAACGAACAAGCCAAATAGGCAAGGCACATAAAAGCTGATGTAAACAGGGCAGGTTCTTGAAATGGAACTTACACTTCTACACAAGTAGTAATAATCCAAAGAGAATAAGTGCAAATGACCAAAAATAAGGTTGTGTATCAGATTGAAGACGAAAAGCACAAGTGAGGCAGAAGGGATATCCAAAGGGCGAAAAGGGCAAGGGTAAAATGGGACCACGACTCCGTACCACACAACGTATACAAATTCATCTTGCTGCGAACTGAATAAGAAAAAACGAGGTGGATAAAAAGAGGCAAATTATGTACCTAACACCATGCGAATGGGGTGGGCAAAGCAAGGAGAGGTGAATCAAGAAAGAAGCGAAAGAACGACGCTCGAATAAAGATGCAGCACTGAGCTTTGATAGCTACTGGAAGGATGAGTTTTGAAACGAGTACATATACGCAGGGTGGAACGAAGCAGTGGTAGGAACGGAGGATCTCAAACCAGGAGATGGTTGAGGTTCTCTTCCTTCTTGTCCGCGAAAGGCATCGCCTTGACGAAACCGGTTTCTGGGAAATCGACTTCGTTCACCTTCTGCGAGCTACCTCCGACCGATCCATCCCATCCGTAGGTTTCCTTCTTCTGCACAGGTTGGAAAGGATCCTCGACATGTTGAGGGTAATCGTTCGTGAGATGGATGGCGGCGATGACGGTGAAACCTGTGAGGGCCCAGCATACCCACATCATGGGATAACACGAGTGATCGAGCTGGGCAGCGACGAGTTCAGGCATGGGATCGGGGCGAGGGGAAATTGTTAATGCTTGGGCGACGAGGGTGGCATAAATGGGGTTGAACGCGTCACGGACGGCTTTCCATTGCCAGTAGTGAGAGATAGAAGCTGTGAATCCGAGCACCCATCCGGCAGAAAGGATGGTGTAGGACAGCCGCAGAATGTTCTTCCCGATCCGCTTCGTGACGATGGCGCACTTGAGGCTGTAGACCAAACCGATCTGGTTGAACTTGAGTCCGATCGACTTGAATGGTCCGTCTTTCTTGAAGTTTCCTCCGTACCATGGGAAGCAGGCGATGATGAGGAAGATCCATCCGAAGAAGAGGAGGATGAATGAAACGAAGAAGACGACAGGAGAAACTGCTGGAATGTCGTAATGCAACGCAGCGATTCCTTGATCGACCAAGACGGGATTCTGGATGATTTGAGTGAGATAAGTCGTCCAGAACCTGTTGTAATTTGGATCGGCGGAAGGACCCGAGCAGTCTAAAGCTTGGCCGTTGAAACGAGCGCAGGCACCTTCAGGTAATCGCATTCAATCCAACCGTTTCAGATTCCAACAAACAACAAGGGGACATACCAAGAACTCCAATCCAAAGTCCAGCAGTAGTCTTCTCAGCACTAGCCAACAATGCTTTGGCACCTTCTGCCTGGAGATGTTTGCCTAAGATCGAGGCTGCACCATCTCCTGAAATTGAGAAGACGGAACGTCCAAGGTTTCGATCGGGTACAGGGTTGACGATGGAGAACCAGAAGAGGAAGAAGGAGACAAAGGTGACGATCGGAGGGAGGGTGATGAGGAAATGATTGATTCGACTTTGACCTTGCTGATCCATCTTCTTCTTTTTACCTGTTCGAACGCGCATCTTAGCAAAATTACGATATTTTGAGGGGAGAACAAGGAGTGGATGGATGATTGAAAAGAGGACATACTTTAATATCACTTCGAGGCCGGATTTGGGTATAATCGATAATCAGGCAGATGGGTTATTGTTAACTGATATCCAACAATGGGCAAGTGCGACTTCCAACTGAGAGCGACGGGCAAGGCAGACACTGATCGGCACTGAGGGGAGGAGGCGAGAAGAAGCGATGACAGGCCTTAAAAGGGCAGGCTCAGCACAAGGGCTTTGGCCTTTGGACCTTTGTTCTTTTAGGGATCGGCCGCAGCAATTGGGAACAAAAGATGACCTTAAATTTTGGAAGCGTGCTCGATAAGTTAACTTAACCTTGTGACCTCAACTCCGCTACGCTGGGCTTCTTATCGGCCTATTCTTCCTCTTGTTCTTCAGCATTCGCACCAGCCTTTCTGCCCTCCTTATTGTTACTCCAAGTCGAGCTATCTCTGCCATCCATGCTATCCACGTTGCCCGGTCAAAGACCAACAAAGAGGAATGGGAGAGGAAAGAAAAGGGAGCATCGACGATTTGTTTGCGATGCCAAATTCCGCACCAATTCGATTGAACACGATTGACCTTGTTTGGAGGAACTCAGCTCCAAACAAAAAGCAACCATTCCTAGATTTATGAAACCGTCCTTCTGAGATCGTGTAAACAATTCTCCTTAAGTTCTCCTTTCGGTTGTCCAAGGGAACAGCTGGGAATTACGGGCCACCTCCAACAAGGCATGCTTCTCCTCCGTCGCATCCGATTGTGATCACGATAAGAAGTGGGATCACCAAGCCGGTACCTCAGTGCCATTCCGGTTTCGAAACAAAAGCCTCTAGGGGCAGAAACCTGCGAGGAGTAAACATCAAAATCCCCGGCAACGTTCCAGCACCAGCGAAAGCAGTGTCCACACTCGTAGAACCAATGCATAGTGTACTTCAAAGGAAAACGTCCCGCTTCTGTTGTGGTGTATTGCAAAGCTGGGACCAAATTAGTTTAGTTTGGGGTTTCGTGAACCTCCCTTGAATCTTGGATATTCGAATTTACATTGTTCAGTGCTCGAGAAACCTTTGAGCAACGAGAAGACACACGGAGAATGCAGAAAGCAAGATCATCAGCCGTATAGTATAGAACAGAGCCTCGTGCGGTCGGGATGTTTGTAACAATTAACGTAGCCAGAATTAGTACAAAAATTGATAAGAAGTGCTCCTAAACTCGAGGAGAACAGGCAAGACAATTTCAGACGGGAAAAAATAAAGCGTCGAAGACAAGATTCGAACTTGCGCAGCAGATGCTACTTGATTTCGATTGATTCGAGTCAAGCTCCTTAACCACTCGGACACTTCGACATTCTTTTCCTCCTGTCTCCTTAAATTTCTTCTTAGACTTTTTATGGATATGCTTCCTGCACTCCTGCGTTTATTTATTTTTCAACTGACTTGTTGAAAGAATGACAGGCAGATAACAGCACGAAAGACCTGAAGAAAGATAGATACCAACCTTGTGACTTTACGTAATAAGTAAAGGTCACAGGCCACGTGACATCACTTGCTGAATTATGGACCCACGCACCCAACGCTCACAGCTAGAACCACGAAGGGACCTCCACAATGTCGAAGAAACGGCGCCCTTCACCCTCGAGCTCCTCCACATCTACGCTGAATCCACCAAGAAAGCGCCTGTCTCACCCTGGCGTCTTGTTACCGACGATTTACATCATCGACTCCAAACTCCTGCCTGAAGAGATCGAAGGCTATATTTCAGGATGGGAGGCGATGGGAGGGAGAGTGCTGAGTAGCGTGGAAGGCGCTGAGGTCGTTGTTACGCGTTTGAGAAGCTTGAAACGCATCGCAAGGAGCCTGGAGGTAAGTGGATAGATTCGTTTACTTGCTTTTTGGAGATTTGGGATGTGTAGGATTTTGTTGCTTTTATGTGGATAAGATCACTTGGATTACTCTGGCATTCGAGGGGCCTTTTGCTGTGGATTGCACTTTCTGAAAGTTCATGAGTGAGTGAACCATTTACGTCATCGACTTGATGGCTTCCTTGAACCTGGCTTCATACTCCTCTATGGTATTTTGCAGAGCTCAATGCTAGTAGGGCAGATGAATGATGTTCTTTATTGCTACGAGAATTTGGAGCTACCAACACCAGACATAACTGGTGCTTGTCAGCCTGCACGCTGCACAACCAAATCAATTTCGACACTGATCAGCACAAAAAGTATTTGAACGTGTCCCTTCGGCTTGTTGATGGAAATTTAGATATTAATATGTGAAATGAGTATTTATTTCAGTCAGCCTGACTCTATTTCTAACTGGATTCGCAAAGACCAAGAACCACGCTATAACATTGGCTTTTTTTGACTTTGAGTGGAAAGTATCAATACATAGGTTGTTTGTTTCAATACGGATTAGATGCATTTATTGAACTTCGTTCTGCTATCAAGCGATATGAAATACAATTGTCCGAATTTCTGCCATTCGTCTGTGACCTCACACAAATATTGGATCTAGCAAGGAAAGAAGACTGTCGTGTCAGATCGTTGGCTACTGGACGCTTTCGAGTCTTCCGAGAACGCGTTGCCAAACATTCAAGACTACCTCATTGCCTCACCTCAGCACACGTTACTTTCTGCCTTGACTGATGGATCAGGAACAGACGGATCAGGAATCGATGGTGGATCTGGTACGTGCAGGTTTCTAACGCAGCTAGCAGCTCAGACGCGTCGTTTAGATGGAGAACGGAAGCCTCCTCGCCCTCCAGTCGATCGATTTAAATCTGAAGCATCTTCCATTGCCATTGGACAAGTGATAAAGCGCAAGAATCTCGCTTCCTCTTCACTGAAAGAGGAGGTGCAGCCGAGGCTGAGGTGGGAGAGAGGGAAACCTTTCCCTGTCCTCTCTTGCCGACGACCAACTCCTTTACTTCCCCCATCGGAGAACATACCTCTTCTTTCTCTACTCAGCGTGATTCGGAAGCGCCGATGGCTTGAAGGTTTGTGCATTCATTTTTCTGAGCCCGCATTGGGTTTGATTGGGGATGAGAAGGCGAGGAGACGTCTGCTCTCGCCTATTCCCGTGCCATATCTGCCCTGAAATTCCTGGACTTTCCCATCAAGATTATGAAGGATGTAGATGGTGTCAGTGGGATAGGGGGTAAAATCGGAGCTCTAGTGAAGGAGTGGATAGAGAGCGGTACTATTGCTGAAGCTGGTATGGCCCGTTTCTCACAAACGATAAGACACTGACGACCGATCTAGAGAGTATTAGACGATCAACCCGCTTTCAAGCTTTGTCGCAATTTGTCAAAGTGCACGGCATAGGACCCGGAAAAGCAAAAGAGTTATATGCGAAGGGATGCCGGACCATCGAGGACGTGAGTGCAAAAGGAGGCTTCAGCATTGAATTCTTGGAAGAGAACGAGGTTCCGTTTGTATTCTCCTTCCTACCGCGAAAACGGCACGTTGATGTTGGAGTAGGATGCTGAGAGTTGAAATTGAACGCTTTGTCGAAATCATAGGCGAACATATAAAATCGGTTGCACCTGAAGCTGCATGGATTGTCGCAGGAAGCTATCGGCGGGGTCAGCCCACTTCTCAGGATATCGATATTCTCGTCACCGTTCCAAAACTAGGAGAGGAGAAGGGTTTACTGAAAAAAATTCTGGACACTTTACACCGAAACGGTGCGCATCTCTCATTCCATGAATCTCGCATCGCTGACAAAGGCTCATCGTGGAAAGGATTGCTGGAAGAAACTCTTTACCTCTGTGAAACGGACTCCAAACGTCCCATAGACGCGCGGCATTACCATGCATCGGGGGTAGACCCATTTGACAAAGCTTACACAGTCCTTCGGCAGCCTTTCCCGGCAATGGTGCAGGGGAGCAAGTGGAGCGGAAGGACTGGAGTGCGGAGAAGAGTAGACTTCATTATTTGTCCCATCAAGTATTTCTGGACCGGAGGTTCGTCTCCTCTGGCATGTGTTGAGTGTCCATCGGTTGACTTAAGGGGCTGCTCAGTGCTTGGGTGGACGGGAAGTACAATGTTCGAGCGCGATTTAAGGCTCTGGGGAAAAAAGAAGTGCGGTCTGCAATCATACTATAGTTTTCATTGACGATTGCCCTGCAGAAACATGAAATTCGATTCGGGTGGCCTGTACAGAAGATCAGACAGTAAAGAGATATTAGTGAATAGCGAAGAGGAGATATTCGAGAAAATGGGGCTCGAGTACATTCGTTCGTCCCTCTCACAGCTGCTCTGCCGAAAGGTACTGACGAAACATAGCACCCACGTTGAGAAATTGCGACTTTTGGGATCCGAAAAGGGAAAGCTGATTAGGTTTAAGTGATGTATATTCGTGCATGTTGTCATCTGTCGAGGTCATTTGTAGATGTTACGTGGTACAAAGTGTGATGCTTCAAATGTTAGGAGTGAACTTCATGATATCCTTTCTGGATTCTAAGCCTTTTTCTTTTGTATGACTAGTAGGTTTGCATCGTGTACGTAGGAAATAGTTTAACGTGACAAAAATGCGTACTATTACTACATTTTGGACGAGAAGAAAATGAAGAGGCAACATCACTCTTCCATTGCCTCTACGTTTACCCACCACTCTAAATTACCCAGTCCCTGATCAGCAATCGTTCCCTGTTCATACTCAAGATCAGTTTCAAAGTTCCTTGAGCATGTCAGTCGTCCTTTCCAAGTCGCATCTTCCTGTCACCATAAGGCATAGGAAAATGATTGACGAAGAGAGTTCGAGCGAGGACTAGGGGAGGGAACGTAGGACGAAGATGGAGGAGAAAAGTCAGCAGAGGGAAACTTACGAAAACTTTCATCACCGCCTTTCCCCTCTTCTCCAACTCTGCTTCTGGCAAGTTTCCAACGACAGCAGATTCGTCGTATTCCACGGTAGAGACGCGGAAGCGGATGGCGTCCCCTACGCCAACATTCCATCGCATCCAGCAGCCCAGCAGTAAGGGCTAGGTTCGAAAAATGAACAAAAGATCGAGGACTGACCTTTGTCCAAGTAGAGCCTCTCGCTGGGATCTGTGCTCAGGGGATCTCGATCGCCTTCTTCTGCTGACGGAGCCCAAAAATGGAGTCCGAGATCAGGATCACTGTTCCCAACCGGCGCGTGAATCCCTTGATAGAGCACAATAGGAAGGAAACGGACTATGCGGAGTGTGGTGGGAAAGAGGAAGATGGGATGTAAATGTCGTTGAAGAATGTACATGTCACTGCCGCCCATGCTGATTAATAGTAGGGGTAGGGAGAACGTCATTTCGTACATCGGATGCCCTTTGTTGACGAAGATTGGACGTTTGCGACCAAGGTCTCGCCTTCGAAAGGCTGGAAAATGGCAAGCGTGAACTTCACTATCCACAAAAGGCAAAATGTCAGGTCTTTGATGCTACAGGAAAGTGATGAATCCAAGGAATATAACATAACGACAAAAGCAACAAAAGACAGACCTTTATAGTACAAGCATCCATCGCCATAATACACTATTCCTTCTGTTGTGCTGAGGATTGTGTGTGGAGCAATAACCAGTCCAACTCCTGGAAGCACCTACATTCATTTTAGTAAATCATTTCTTCTGGAAGAGATAGAAGAAGCATTACTTTATTCTGATACTTCTTCCCAATGGCTCTCATCAATGCCACGGGAACGTCGACGTCGAAATCATGTGGAAGGATCTTGATTGTGTCCTGTCCAAACATGAAACAATTCAGCCTTTGTCTGACCATCTGAAAGCTAGAAATGACTAGAAAAAGGGAAGGGGAAATAGGAGCACCAACTTTGATTGTGGAGAGGACGAACATTGTTCGAATTCCTCTGCTCCTTTCAGCCACAATCAGATGCTCTCAGGCTCCTTCAGATGCGAATGCAGATGCAGATGCAGAACAAAGGTCGGCGAAGATTGATATGTCGACTGGGATGAACTTGGGACGAACTGGAAAATAGGACAAAAGACCCGAAAATGAGGATTTAGTCGATAGAAGTGGAAGGCGATCGCAGAACCGACTGAAACGGTGATAGGGTTAGGGACATTATCCTTCTTTTGAACCTCACGGAACGACCAGCACGTCGACTTCTTCTTTTCTTTGTTTTTTCTCGCTGCTTTTTCGAGTTTCTCGTAGGTGAGCATCCTTTCCTTACCCTATCTGAACGCCGGCTGGGTCATTTGCGACTCTGGAGGCGTTTTTCTGAGGAATTTTGAGTGGCGGAGCGACGGCTGATGATTTTCTTTTGGCGCATGGTCTGACTGTTTGGGACACGCTAACCCGAACCGCGCACATTGTCACTTTCGGCCTCTCTTCCCTTACTTGCCACGCACTTCCG